TCTATCTACCAAGCAACTTAATTCTGAATGGACACTACACGGCACTAAATGCATACGCGTTCTAATCGGCCACGTCAGAGACCCCCTAGAATTTAAGTATAAAATCTAAATCATGCCGTTAACACAAGGTCACCCTTAGAAGGCTGTTTCTTTACGGCTTCAGACAGAACAAGAGAAGAGTCAGGGGACTACTTGAACAGACATCTTCTAGTGGATTAGATTCTCCAAGCACAGTTGACCAATAACATCTCTGACGGGACTCGAACCTCGGACAGTTCGTCTGAGAATCGAATGCTTAACCATTGAGTCAAGAAGGCCCTAATTATGAACTAGTCACCAGAGGAAAGTCAGCCGGCTATGAGCACCCGCCACCACAAGGATTGTTTTTAAGTTCTGTGAATCGAATAACTTTCGTTTTTATAACGCACTCACAGCTGAAAGTGCAGGACGTGTTCTGTACCATCACGCTTCGAACCTTGGATCTTTTAATCCAGGGAGAGCAAAACGCCGACAGCTAGACCACGCCCAGCCCAATAAAGCAATGCAAAAAAAAACAAAACAGAAGCGAGTTATCACACTCACGTAAAGTGTGTTTATTATTCTCGTTCCTTGTAAGTGCATATAAGCTGGAGGATGTCCGAAAACCAATAAAAAATACATGATCCTAGTTTCTTCTTTAACATATTGTACATGCAAATTTTACTTATGTTCTAAAACGTTTGCATATTATTGTTTTTAGATGTGTTGAATAGAAATATTAAGATTTGTATGTTTGTTGTTAAGCACAAAACTACACAATGGGCTATTGGTCCACCGTGGGTATCGAAACCCGATTTTTAGCGTTAGAAGCCGAAGACTTACCGCAGAGCCACTCAGAGTAAAAAGTGAACTTCATGGTCATAAACGGTACAATTATGTGAAAATCTTTAATACGTTAATGAATCAGCAAGCCTCCGTGAGGAGGGAGGGAGGGGGAGGGCTAATATTAAGGAAGTATGAATTCAAAACATGAAATTCCAAAATATTAAATAAATAATTCGTATTTTATTAAAAGTCAAGATAACAGGTTCATGGGACACAAACAGTCAAAACATAGTTACTTATAACCATACGTAAAACCATGGAAACATTTGAATATAAATATATCCCCAAGATATATCAAAATAACACTTAGTATCTATGACATAAATTTTCCAGTTTAAAGACTTGTTAAAAATATTTTTTTTTATAGTCCTGCAAACTCCCAGTGGAGCATAGGGCCGCAACAACACCTCGCCAACGGAAGGTGTTGTTGCAGTTACTTGTAGCAGGTTAGTTTTTACGGGGTGGAGTTGCTAGGCCCGCACCCAATCCTCCCCCTTTCTCATCCTGGACTTAGGACCAGGCAAAGGCGGAGGTTGGCATGTTTGGTGTGAAGGGGATTACGAGTCGAGTGCCCTAACCACTTGGCCATGCCGGGCCGTTAAAAATACTTACCATATTCGATCAAAACTCATAGCTGTATCAAGTAAAAGTAAGGGCTGAAATATTATATATATATATATTGTAAGCTTTGAGGATCGAGATTGAAATTTCACGTTATTCAAGCCAATCATTATATTTTGTAGCAAACATAACGTCATCCCCCTCTAAATTAAAATCACTCACGAATCACTTGGAGCAAATAGAGATAACTTAATTAACCTTGGACGGTTTTAGTTTCGTCAGATTTATATTTATATATATATTTAATACAGATTGTTACTGAAACAAAATGTTTCAAATATTTCTCCTCAATAGTAAAACACATTTTCTCTTTTGTTTGTTTTAAAGAAGAAATAGAGATAACTTAATTAACCTTGGACGGTTTTAGTTTCGTCAGATTTATATTTATATATATATTTAATACAGATTGTTACTGAAACAAAATGTTTCAAATATTTTCTCCTCAATAGTAAAAACACATTTTCTCTTTTGTTTGTTTTAAAGAAGAAATAGAGATAACTTAATTAACCTTGGACGGTTTTAGTTTCGTCAGATTTATATTTATATATATATATTTAATACAGATTGTTACTGAAACAAAATGTTTCAAATATTTTCTCCTCAATAGTGAAAACACATTTTCTCTTTTGTTTGTTTTAAATAAAAAAATCATTAATTCTCACCTTAAATTTACGAGCAGAAGTTCAGTTTTGGCTCACCGATAACTTTGAGGGGTTTATAACCCTACAACTCGGGTTCGATTCCCACGACAAACGCAACCAATATATCCGATTTTGCGCTGAAGTAAACATATTCTACTAGGATTTACGTGTTAACGAACTTTCACTGTATAGTTTAAATCATATGCAACAATTCATATTAATACTTGAAACGTATCAAGCAGTAGTAATTTTTTAGGTTTTATATTAACACATGGGTTGTTAGGTATCCACAGAGATAGTAAAGGTTTCTCCTGACTTTTTTCCATAAAAAGCTTGATTTACTAAAAAAAAAAAAAAAAGAAATGGTCTTGTTAGACGAAAAGAAACGCCATGTAAAAGTACAAACTTCTCAAGATGAAAATTATTAGATAATTCATTTTTATTGATCAAGTTTTTCTTATATCATTTGCGTTTTTCGCTAATACATAAAATAATTATTCTGAAACTTGTTATTTACTACGATTTGCGTTCTTATTGTGGCGAGATGATGTGGTTCATGTGTTTTTAAACACCACAACAAACTATATATGTACATGTATATACAGAGGGGAAGAATATATAAACTGCTAAATGAATATAGAATGCCGTAATTTATTTATTTATTTGTCACACTTATTAGGCCTATAAATTTCAACACTGGGTCTTATTTTCTTTATATGACACACAAACATTATTCCTTTTGTTTGTAATGGAATCGACCTGGAACACAGCTGTTGACCTAATCACTGTCACCACCATTTTTACAATATAACCGCAGTCGCAGCTAGAAAACTTGCAATCACAAGTCGCATCTGTGACGTCTTCTATTTCTTATCTTTGATATTGAGTAACATGTTCTATTTCTTATCTTTGATGTTTAGTGACATGTTCTATTTCTTATCTTTGGCGTTTACTAATATGTTGTATTTTCTTACCTTTGGTGTTTAGTGACGTGTTCTATTTATTATCTTTGGTGTTTAGTGACGTGTTCTATTTATTATCTTTGTTGTTTAGTGACATGTTCTATTTCTTATCTTTGGAATGTGACAACTTCTTCTAACATGTTTTTTTTTTCCTTAAACAAAACGGAGCAGCTTGTGCAGCCTTCAAAATGAACATTGCAGTGGTAAACTATATACTTTTAAAAAATGGTTAAGGCGAAATAGAATAAAAAATAAATTAATATATTGCTTAAACAATGCACGTAAAGATAGAAATAAATAACAAATGAATCGCTAAATGTAAACAGCATTCGAACTGAGTTGTTTATTAAAAGTTACAAGCTTTTTGTATGAACACACCATATAGACCTAATTTGTCAGCATAGCAACGATAGCTACCAATGTATCAGAAACTGTTATCCACACCTTTGAGAAATATTCAAATATTTTTATAGTAAGTGAACAAAATATCTAATAATTTACGAAGAAGCATGTAAATGGAGAATTTAGTTTTGCTCATTCTCTCTTTAGTCATTTATAACTTGTGAGTAATAAATCTATAATAATATGTCAACTACACTACATCTGCTAAAAGTGGGTAAAGAGCTAATATCTTGAATAGCGTGACGTCTCCAACAGGGAACATAACTCGCTAAACAGCGCCATCTTCAGTCTGACCAGTGAATTATCACCAAAACGGCTGTCACGAACAGCAGTTTTTAAAATAATGGTGCTTCTACGATTATGATGTAAATGAACCATTAAAGTTACTTAAGGTTTCCTTACAATGCCATAGAATGTTTTTTTCTCTTTGGCTCAAAAGTTTTAAACAGTTACACAAACAAAATGAACTTCAAATTTGCATGTTAATACTTTATCCCTTCTAAACATGACGATTCATTGCAAATTTTTCGTACGCTAATGATACATAGCTTATGTGGTACAGTACTTTTTATCAAATTAATAATAAGTTCAAAAGCATTACAACCTTACGAAGGCTAATTAATAGTATGTTTTTCAGACTATTTATTTGTTTTTTGTTTGTTGCTAAGCGCAAAGCTGAACAATTAGCTTTCGGTGATGTGCTCACCACGGGTATCAAAACCAGCATCTTAGCGTTACAAGTCTCCAGACTTACCGCTGAACCACTTGGAGTTTTTGAAAACTGTCTCCTCTTGCTTTTGGGGCTTGTGATGTTTGGACATCATACTGAATTAGTGAAACTATCGTCACTGTCCTTTAAAACGTTAAATTAATGAAGTTTTGAGCTAAAAGAAGTGTTCAATCAAGATTTGTATTAATAGGCAACAAAAAAGTTAATTCTTCCAAAAAAATCAGGTCTGTTTTTTAAAACTTCAAAGACTTGACATGGTCTGGTGACGAGGGCGCTCGACTCACAATCTGCAGATTCGAATTCCCGTCGCACTGAACATGCTCGCCCTTTCAGACATGGGGGAGTTATAATGTGACGGTCAATCTTACTATTATTTGGTAAAAGAGTAGTCCACCAGTTGGCAGTGGGTGGTGTTAACTAGCTACCTTCTCTCTGGTCTATCACTGCTAAATTAGAAATATATAGCGCAGATAGCCCTCGTGTAGCCTTGCGTGAAATTCCAAACAAACCAAACCATTTAAAACTTCAACGTTAATGTGGATTATATAAAGGTATTGAAGTTAAGCCTAATAACTAAATCTCATAAATAAATTGAGATTCATTTACACCTACCGCAAGAAGAAAGTATATATTGTAATTAAATCAGGAAATTGACCTGACATAACTTAGTTGAACACAAGATTGCAATTTTAGAACTGAGTACAAAGAAGCTCTGTGCAATTTTGATTTACACGACATTTGTTTCATAAAGTTATGTCTTCTTTTACAAACACGTTTTAGGTGCATTCTTGGTGCCATACCTACTGACCTTACTTTTTGCTGGGATTCCTACATTTTTCCTGGAAACTTCCCTGGGACAGTTCTTAAGTGTTGGCGGACTAGGGGTCTGGAAAATATGTCCTATATTTAAAGGTGAGTTAATGAAAGTGTTTGTATTTTCATACCATTGGTTTAAGAAAAATATAAGTCCTGTATTACTTTTCCATTCCATTAGGGACTCATTAATAAATAGTTTTATCTATTTACAAATTCGTTTATTTTTTGTTTTCGCTATATTATTTAGAAGTAACAAAGAATGTCAAGCAGTGATTTTTTTAGTGTACAGTTGATCACAAATTGTACACCTGTAAAAAATATTCCCCTATATAATTAAGTTCAATTGGATAAATGTTTGAAAACAAAAATGAAGATTATAAAATTCCATTCCAGAGTTGATAAATAAATGTATTTACTAGAATATTCTTCCTTTTTTAGATCATTTGTTACTAGGCCTATATATGTGAGGTGCAAGAAAGCGTCATGTGTTAAAAAATGATGAAGTTAAAATATAATTGTGTAGTTGAAAAAAAATCTTTAGGCAAAGCTTTGAGTCCTAAAAAAACTTTTATCCTTTGAAATTACTTTTACTTCCTGACTAACACACAATTAGTACATATGTACTCAAATGTAGTGTATATTTATTAGTGAATGTCGTCTGTATTAAACAGAAATAGAAGTCACCCGCGAAATTTAGGCTTGTCGAAAAGAAACATACCAGATTTCATATTGATTTCTATTTTCGACTCGTTTCCTCCTTAAGTTGAAAACGTTGTTACTTCTTAATCGTCTCAGAACAGATGTTCAGTTCTCAATAACACTACACTTAGTGTAGTTTTTCTTCAGTGGCTGTCGGAACAGTTGTTTATTTTAAAATACAGAGATGAAAACTGTTTACGTTTTTCTTTTAAATATCTATTGCGTGTAAAGCAATAACGGAAGCAAAAAACAGAATTTAATGTACGGTGACCATACAGAAAAGTGGGGGGAAAAGAAGGATGACATGCTAAATCTAAGATATACAGATATACAGAAATATAGAAATACGAATATCATAAATATAGAAATTAAATTTTATCTCTCTCGGCGTGGTTTAACGTGCAATATCACGACGACATACGTATGCGAAGACCGATGGCTGGTAATTGTGTAACAAATAATTTAAGAAATCATGTGACATCATTTACGAAAATATTGATGTAGTGTTGAAATATCAGACTTTTGATGTACTAACCAGTGTCATTGGTCTAGACTTAATGAACTATTCAATATCATTGGTCTATCTTTAGCATGCATGAATTTCAAAGCTTTGCTTTGAAGTGGACGTTAAACATTTGAAACGTTTTTTTTTTCCTCCTAAAGCATGAAATATTTTGTATCTCAGTATTATTAAAGCGTTTTTTAAGTTCATACCACGTGTATTTTCCTACTTTCAATTATATCAAATTTGCTTAACTTAGCTTAATATATATATACAAAGGATGAAAGTTCTGACTGACAAAAATGTGAAGCAAAATTCAAACTACTTACAGTTTCCTAGGAGAAACTAACCTTACATTAATATGATGGTAAAAACGTATTAAATCATGAAGATAAGAATAGCTTACATAAAACAGCGAGAAAAATATTCAGCTAAACCTTTGGTTGCCTAGGTCTAGTGCAGTGTGTTTTAAAAATACTACGACCCTACGGTATTAGACAGATCAGTGTTTTTAACAACCACATTGTAAGATGTAGTGTGTAATATTAGTAGATGCTACTATATAATTATACAAAGAGTGTTTCAATTCTGTACATTGCTATTTAAGAAAATATTTAATACTGCTAAGGGCTACATGACTTAAATATACATAACTACTTCTAATAAAATATGTAGCCAAAAACACGTTTATACTCAAGGTTGTATATAGTTTTAACATATAATTTCCTTAAAATGATCATAAAAACACCTACAAATTACGAAGTGTAGCGTATTCATATTGAACATAATAATTCATCATGATGTAGTAAATTCACAGAGAACATATTTTAGGAGAGAATGCGAATATCTGCCTGATACAAAGGATTTTCGTCCTAATGTTTCAAAAAGTTTCTACTGAATTGAAGACAACGTTGAACTAAAACTTCTTTTTCAATCAGCTGGAGATCAACCTTCAACTGCCGAGAAAACTTGTTAGGTGTTAATGATGAAGATAAACAGCGACAATTTACTAACAAACTTGATTAGTTTCTACATCTCTGGCTAACATATAAGGAAACTGGGAATATTTAACCAGAGAGCTAAGGTGATTAGGTTTAAAGCCTTTAGTAATAATGGAGTGTTTGATGCAATTAGAAGTAACAGTGGTGGTTAGTAAACTATCAAATAAATGAGACGATATCTCAAAATGAAATGGGTATTTGTTATTTGTTACTTTCAAAATTACAGTTTGTAATTAACAGCCTAGACACTTATTATAAATCGCACGTGCTCCTTATGAGCGTTCTTCTACCAAAGAAACAAAAAACTTTTACATAAGCAATTGAAGTATTACCTAATGTTCTTCAACATGCGCGTGGATAATGGTTTTTTATGAGCAGATATTTTCAGTCCCTTGAAATTAATTCTTACTTTGAAATGTATTTAGGTGTGGGCTATGCTGCAGCGGTTATGGCCTTCTGGTTAAACTGTTACTACATTGTGGTATTGGCATGGGCCATCTATTACATCGTGTCCTCTCTTGACATCGACATTCCCTGGCGGACATGTGACAATTGGTGGAACTCGATTTTTTGTAGGTCTGAATATGATGAAATGGTGACTCCTAACTGCACCGGTAACATAAGGTTAGATCCTCCAATCTGCGCCTTCAACTTTTCAGATCATACTATTTTCAAAAGCACAGTGAAGGAATACTGGGAGTGAGTATTGTAACACAACAGTATTATGAACTTCTGAAAACTGTTTAAGGTTTTAAAAGTAGTACAATGTTATTGTACACTATATTTTTAATACTTTAATTTATATGCTTGTTTGATAGAGGAAGCATCTCATAACATCATGATGACGCACAATCTAGAAATACCCTGTAAGTTAAGGCCTGGTAGAATCTGGAAGCTTCCTGTGTTACATATAAAACTATATTGTATAATAAATACCAGAATCAGTGAATGAATCAGTTAGTAAGTTATACACCTCAGTGTTAAATAATGATACAATTTAGTGTTAGGTAATGAGTTATTCAGTTTAGTCAGTTAGTGAGTTCGACAGTGATTTAGTTTTATGCTAAACAGTAAGTCAGTCAGCGTGTTTGTTAGCAATGGATTAGTGACGAAATTTTTTTTTTGAAACGTTTGTGAAGTTAGGCCTACCGGTGAATGTAGCCTGTAGCAGACGTTATTAAAGAAATAAATTAGTACCTTATCGTTACGTCAATTGGAATTTGCTATACTTTTACCAAATAATCTAAGATAACTCTCACAAATATCCAGAGCTACAACAATATTGTATTTTGGAAAATGATTAAAGTTTAACATTCACTACAAATTATGCGGACAAAATAGTCTATTGGATAGTGCTTTGGACTCATTGTCGAGAAGTTGCTGGTTCAAAGACTTACCGGCAAGGTGTTGTTATGTTCTTGAACAATACACTTTATCCCACTTTATACAGCGATAGATGGGTAGCTGAGGGTTAAATTGTGCTTGTACCATAGGAAACTTGGGTTAAACACTGGTCTTATGACTTTTGAAGCATGAAAATGGTTAATTTACGTTTTCCATCTTCAGCAAGCTATATTGAACAAGGTAAAATAAAGAAAGTTTATCCCACATAAATGAACCCCAACTTAAAAAAACAAAAAAAAACACAACTTCGCTATAATTAAGCCTGTTTTTGAATAACTTGTATAATATTGTTACAACTGTTGCCACCATCCTATCTTTTTGTTTTTGTTTTTAATTGACTTCATCCTTTTTCTCTGTATTTTAATTACTCTTTATAAAACGTTAGAACTTTAGAAATTTTTGTAACTAATATTTTACATTGTTCAATATAGCTTGATGAAGATGGAATATGTACATTCCGAAACGTTCACACACGAGTCAAACTTTTTATCCATTGGTTAAACTACAAATGATATTTAAGTCACCTTTCAATATTCTAAAACTCTGAATCCAAAACACCTCAGTTTTGTTTTTGAATGTAAACGTACGTCCAGTATATTTTGTAATATTGAAAAATATATTTAGAAACTGTAACAGAACAAAACAAACATTGATTTTATGTTTATGTGTATAAAAATTATGACTTATGTGTAATTTTTAGTGCTTCTGCTTAAATTAGTCTTAAGTAATTCTAAGCGATTGATGAAGATAATGGAGCTTTTTAGCAGCAAGATGAGCAGTATAATGGAGTGTGTATTGAGTATTGTGTGATTACACATATTATTATGTACTCAATGTATGTTCTTATATGTATAATTATGTACTCAATGTATGTTCTTATATGTATAATTATGTACTCAATGTATGTTATTATATGTATAATTATGTACTCAATGTATGTTCTTATATATGTAATTATGTACTCAATGTATGTTCTTATATGTATAATTATGTACTCAGTGTATGTTCTTATATGTATAATTATGTACTCAGTGTATGTTCTTATATGTATAATTATGTACTCAGTGTATGTTCTTATATGTATAATTATGTACTCAGTGTATGTTCTTATATGTATAATTATGTACTCAGTGTATGTTCTTATATGTATAATTATGTGCTCATCATGTGTGGTTTTGTATATCTATATGTATCACTATGTGTGGTTATATACATCATTATGTACCGACTATGTGTGCTTATATACATCATTATATACTGACTATGTGTGCTTATTACAGAAATATTTTAAATTATATTCCATATTTCATAATAATTGGCTATAAGTATAAGTAATAGAATTTCAGAGATGTTCCATGAAACTGTTAAAACAGTAGCTGGTTTGAGGTTTAACTAACGTATTCGACTAATTTCAAGTTCCGTGACTGTTTTTATTGACAAGATTCGGTAACTTGGGGAAAATATTTCAAGCTCCAAGAACAGAAATAAAATTGAAATCCATTTTCGTTCTCAACGAATGATATTATTCATTTTCATTTGCACTTTTTTGGGTCAGAATGAATAACCAAATTAAGATATAAATATACGTATATAAACGTACATAACCTAATTCTGTATTAGCCAATGTTTGACCAAATTATTCTGCTTAAATATATATATATATCAAAATAAAAAGGTGTTATAACCAAGTTCTGAATGTTACTGGTGAGACAAAAATACAACCGGGTTTTTTGTGGTATAAGTTTGTTGAACTAATCGATTTAAAAATCAAGAAAGGAAGGTGTCTGAAAGTACCTTCTTGAGATGAAACAATATGCTAATATGAATAAATAAATAAATAAGAAAAAACACGATAGATTTAAATGCTGCATTTTAATTCTCGTGTTAAACCTAAAACGGTTATTTCGTCGATGTTGTTTAACTAGAAACTATCGTTCTTTCCAGGCGAAATGTGTTACAGATAACCAGTGGGTTAGACGAACCTGGTAATATTCGGTGGCAGCTGGCCATAACGTTAGCAGTCGCTTGGGTCATTTGTTATTTCTGTATCTGGAAAGGAGTGAAATGGACTGGCAAGGTAAGTATCACTGAAATAGCTAAAGATTAAATGGGGCTTGGTTATAATAAATCATCATGATGTAATAAATATGTTCCACTGAAGGAAGTATAGTATCTCTCTTTTCCTTGTGAAGACCAATCTACACTCGCCTTTCATTCGGCTGTATCTTTGAAGCAACGGTAAATATTCCTTGTGCGAGACTCTGTTTAATCAATGGCTCTTCATTAGCAACAAAAGCTAATTTCATATAATTTCTTATTATACCATCAGTTACTCAATCAATACTTAAGTGTTTTTAATTCTAAAGCTTCATAATTATCAAATGTGTTTATTTAGATGCAAAAATACACAATGTGCTATCTACGTTGTGTTCGCCTTGGAAATCGAATCTCGAATTTTAGTGCTATAAGCCTCAAGAGAGTCTTTAACGTGTTTTAATGATTTGGTATATTATAATTTTACAGAATTAGAAAATTTCTAAAGAAATAAAAAATAGTCACAAGAATGAGAAAATTAAATTTTCACTTACGATATTTTTATCTCTTTGTTTTTGTTTACAGGTGGTTTACTTCACAGCCTTGTTTCCATATTTCCTACTCTCTACTTACGATATTTTATTCTCTTTGTTGTTTGTTTACAGATGGTTTACTTCACAGCCGTGTTTCCATATTTCCTACTCTTTACTTACGATATTTTATTTTCTTTGTTTTTTGTTTACAGATGATTTACTTCACATCCTTGTTTCCATATTTCCTACTCTTTACTTACGATATTTTATTCTCTTTTTTTTTTGTTTACAGGTGGTTTACTTCGCAGCCTTGTTTCCATATTTCCTACTCTTTACTTACGATATTTTATTACCTTTGTTTTTTGTTTACAGGTGGTTTACTTCGCAGCCTTGTTTCCATATTTCCTACTCTTTACTTACGATATTTTATTATCTTTGTTTGTTGCTTACAGATGATTTACTCCACAGCCTTGTTTCCATATTTCCTACTCTTTACTTACGATATTTTATTTTCTTTGTTTGTTGCTTACAGATGATTTACTCC